CCCATAATAGGCCTCTTGCCCTTGTCATTGCCATCATGCTAGTCTTGATTTCATATTAACTATAGGCATATCTCACTGTTTTAAGCAAACTAGCTCTAACTGCTTGTCGAAGAAGTAAACAAAATTTTCCCAAATAAGTGATATTCACTGTCCCGACGAAAACCTGAAATCGTAGCTATCCTTTGCTACTATTCTCCGGTGATATCATCTGTGCTGAATATATTTAACCTCTGGTTTGATACTAAGTCTACGTTAAGGAATTTTCACATATTTCTTTTTATTTATAAGCTGCATATGAATCCAATGTGCCCTGCACTATGGTGTTCTCAGTGTCCTACATCTTTCTTATTCTTATAGAGCCAAGCCTCCTGCTCTGTATCTCTATCAATAAATGATTGTGATAATATAATCATTAGTATTACCTCTTCAATAGGTACAATTAGTACAACGGGTGGTGGAACTCCAGAAAATGTAATGTGGCTCGCTACTCCCTCCTCGAGTGTTGCTAGTCTCTGTTTCTGCAAACGGTGCCATAAAGTCGATCAAATACTGTGAAGCCTGCTGCCGCTCGGACTCTGCTTGCCCAGCTCTCCGGCTATGAGTTTTATCTCGACCGCATCCTCGTTCCAATATTCATAATATCGAGAGGAGAGCTTATGATCACAGTAAGTGAGATCGCAAACATATATACATATATATAACGTATCACAATACGTATTCATAACATATAGTATTCACGCAAATACTTTAAATCAACATAAAATAATTGTCATAATTTTTTTTTTGAAATTTTAAGATATACGCACATATCGTCCTCACTCATTCTAGGAATTCCTAACGGACTCTATACGTGAATCCTAGGAAACTCTATCCTAGCTCCACAACTTGACACAGGAATGATCCTAAGGATGCTGGAACTAGAGCTCTGATACCAACTGTAACGCCCCGCCCCGGAATCCCGGAGTCGGTACGCTATTAGATCTGATGGACTGGCCTCACAAACCACCAAGATGCATCTTCTTTTCGGGAACCCAACTCCTAGAAACTCCAGAGTTAAGCGTGCTTGGCCTGGAGAAATTCTAGGATGGGTGACCCCTGGGAAGTTTTCCAGGGAGCGCGTGAGTGAGGACAAAATGTGCTGAAAAGACGTGGTGGTTTGTGAGGTCAGTCCATCAGATCTAATAGCGTACCGACTCCGGGATTCCGGGGCGGGGCGTTACACATACCAATCGTCGCTTGATAACTATTGTTATAAGCAAACTCTATCAATGGAATATGATCCTCCCAGCTACCTTGAAAATTAATGATACAAGCCCGCAATATGTCCTCCAATACCTGGTTCACTCTCTCTATCTGACTGTCTGTCTGAGGATGGAATACACTGCTGTGTAATAACCTGCTGCCGAATGAATCCTGAAAACTCCTCCAAAAGTGCGAGGTGAAAACTGAGCCTCGATCTGATACAATCATATCTAGAACTCCGTGAAGTCGAACTATCTCCCGGATAAATATCCTCGCATATGTCTCGGCGGTAAAAATAGTCCTCACTGGAATAAAATGTGCCAACTTCGTCAACCGATCCACTATCACCCAAACTAAAAAACATCACTTTAACCATTAAAAGTCTAATCTTTATTAATGGAAAGGTTTGGATGCAGATAGTCTTGCCTTATTATGTGCACAAGCCCCTGAAACAATCAGCAAACGATCTCTCGATGCTAAACGCTACAAATCTCGTCTTCTCCTTGCTTTTCATCTCATGAAACTCTCCCGAGAACTCAAGTATAGGGCTAGGGTTTGAGAGAGGAGGAGAGGGGCTGCTAGGGTTTGGAACATAGAAGAAAAAGGTGTTTTTCATGTATAAACATGTATATATATGGCAGCAAACCCGAATAAATACAGCCCAAAACCCGAAACCCTAAACTGGAAACCCAGTCTGACTAGAAACATACTCTTCGGTATTTTAGTTGTAACTTTCGCATTCGATCTTGAAATGAGGTGATTAAAGATTTGTTGGAAATCTACTGAAGAGACCTATAACTTTGGTCTTTTAAGTTTTTTTATATTTATACTGTATCAGTGTGTAAAATACAAAATCTCTCTACTAGTCATTATTTTCCAGATTTATACATCATACATGTTTTGTGCATTTGCACTCATATATACATATATACATTGAATTGATCTCAAATCAATTCCTACCATACTCAAACATCACAATATGTTATTTATCAACGTATAACAAATTTATTATTATTTATCACAAAATATTCAAATTTTCGGGGTTTTACAACAATTTTATGATATAACCCACAACTTTCATCCATTTTAGCTCATTTCGACCCAATAGAAAGTATTTTTTTGGAGTTCAAAATTGAAAATCTTATGAGCTAATCACAATTTTTGTGCATTTTTATCCGTTTTGCCCAATGGTAAACAATTTTGTGAAGTTTAGAATTCACGGTTTCAATAACTATAACAAGTGATTTTTGTCCCTTTTTATTCATTTGGACCTAATAGCAAATAAGTTTGTGTAGTTTAAGTTTCATGATTTCGTGAGCAATAACTCGTGAGTTTTTAATTTTTTTTTCATTTGTTTCAACCCAATGACGAATAATTTGTAGTTATAACCCATGATTTTTTTTGTTGCATTTTTCTTGTTTTTGACCCAATGGTAAAACTTTTTGTAAAGTTTAAAATTCACAATTTTAAGGGCTATAATAAATGATTGTTGTCCATTTTTGTTCATTTCGACCTATTGGAAAATAATTTTATAGAGTTGAAATTTCATGATTTCATAAGATATAACACATATTTTTTTAATTTTCTTCATTTGTTTTGACATAATTGCAAATAATTTGTGGAGTTTAAAATTCACAATTCATGAGCCATAACCCAATGTTTTTGAATTTTTTTCTTTTGTTCATTTTGATCCAGTGCCATATAATTTTATGGAGTTTAAAATTTACAATTTCATGATATATAACCCACAATTTGGTCCATTTTTTTTGACCTAACAGGAAGTATTTTTGCGGAGTTCAAAATTCACAATTTCATGAGCCATAAACCCACGATTTTTGATTTTTTTTCATTTTGATTAAATGGCAAATAATATTTTGGAGCTTGAAATTCATGATTTCATGAGCTATAATACACGTTTTTTTGGCCATTTTTGTGCGTTTCGATCCATGTCAAATATTTTTGTGGAGTTTTAAAATTCACAATTTCAAGAGCTATAACTATTTATATATTTTTTTGTTTTTGTTCATTTGGACCCAATGGTTAATAATTTTGTTGTATTCGTAATCCACAATTTCAAGAGCTATAACCAACTTTTTCCCCATTTTTGTTCGTTTGGATCCAATAGAATTACATTTGCTAGATCAAATTCATGATTTTATGAGTTATAACTCCAATTTTTGTTGATTTTAATTCGTTTCAGCCCCAACAACAAGTGTTTTTGTGGATTTCAAAATTCAAAATTTCATGAGCTATAACCAACAATTTTTAAATTTTTTTGTTCACCTTAGTCCAATGGCAAATAATTTTTTGGAGTTTAAAATTTATGATTTCATGACCTATAACCCATATTTTTTCTAATTTTGTTTATTTTGACCCTATGATAAATAATTTTATAGAGTTTAAAATTCATGATTTCATTGTCTATAACCAGCAGTTTTTGTCCATTGTAGTTTATTTTGGCCCAATGACAATAACCTTTGTGGAGGTCAAAATGCACAATTTGAGTTATAAACCATGATTGTTGTGTATTTTTATTTATTTTGACTTAATGATAAATAACCTTGCAAAGTTCAAAATTCATGATTTCAAAAACTATAACCAACGGTTTTGTCCTTTTTTCTTCATTTGGCCCCAATGGCAAATAAGTTTGCGGAGTTCAAAATTCATGGTTTCATAAACTATAACCCGGATTTTCAGAATTTTTTCATTTGTTTCAACCCAATGGCGAATAAATTTTTGGAGTTCAAAATTCACAATTTCATGAACTAAAACCCATGACTTTTAAATTTTTTTGGTCATTTTGGCAAATAATTTTGTGGAGTTGAAAATTTACGATTTCATGATATATATAACCCATGATTTTTGTTCATTTTAGTTTGTCTCAACCCAATAAAAAATAATCACATGAAGTTTAAAATTCATGATGTCATGAGCTGTAACCCACGATTTTTGAATTATTTTTGTTTGTTTCAATCCAATGATAAATAATTTCACGGAGTATAAAATTCACGATTTCATGAGCTATTACATGTGCTTTTAAATTTTTTTGTTTATTTTAATCCAATGACAAATAATTTTGTGGAGTTCAAATTCCAAATTTTCTAATATATAACCCACGGTTTTTGTCCATTTAGGGTCATTTCGACCCAATGATAAGTATTTTTAGCCTATGTAACCGTCTTTTTATATGATAAGTTCAAATTTCACAATTTCATGAGCTATTACCCATACTTTTTGGATTTTTTTGTTCATTTTGATCCAATAGCAAATAATTTTGTAGAGTTCAAAATTTTAAATTTCCTAATATATAATCCACGATTTTTGTCCATTTTAGATCATTTTGACCCAATGGTAAGTATTTTTAGCCTATGTAACTATCTTTTTATATGATAATAAAAAGAAAGAATTCATCTCTGCATTTATTGTTTACACTTGTGTCTCAGTTTTTCTTATTTGATTTATACATTTTTTTTGCGTTGCGAAAACTATTAATTGACTCCTTAAAAAAAATAGAGGGAGATATATATACTGTATCAGCATAAAATTGTCCCAGAGCAAAATTTCTGAAGGCCCTTACAGAAATATGACAAAAACAAATATATTCCATCACTCAACAGATATGAACATTAGCTTCAATTCATAGAATGCCTAAAATCATTTGATATATACATACAGAAATGACAGCCTCTGAATATGCAAAGTAGCGATAAATGTAATATTCATAAATCAATGACTATCTATCTACGTTTACAAGCAGCTAGATGAAATACTAAGGATGCATACACATTTCAAATATAGAAAACATATCTAATAAGCAGTACATAGAAAATTCGACTCATCCAATAGAGTCATCATAATACATTGTTTCACAATGGTCTAGTTGTTTCAAACTTCCAATAGTTATGATAAATTCTTAATACTATTTCCAATAAAAAAAATGATGCTTCACACTGCTTCCAAGCTACAGAACCATACTAAACGAAAGCAAAATCAAAATCAAAACAAGGGTACAGTCTTAAGAGGTCTCAAGGCAAGTAGTCTTCAGAGGTCTCAAATCTCGGGAAGGTTGTCGATCTATTTCCAGACCGACACGCCTCCAGAATTTTCATCAACCTCGGCATTCCTCCCATTGCTTTTCCTGAAAAAGTTTAACGCAATGTGTTTGTTAGACCTTTGTTCTTCGGCTCAGAATAGAGTTTTGCAGGTCTGAATAAATATGACCATGAAATATTAAAGGTCACCAAGTTGAACATCTTCAAAGTACACATCAACTACAAAATAGCAGCTTGAAGCTTCCCCAGATGAAAGCGCTACAGAACCATGCTAATACATAGTAAATTCTACAGAAGTGCATCTTGTATCAATACTATTTCCCAAAAAAAAAAATTTGATGCTTTCAAATTCCTTCCAAGCTACAGAACCATGCTTCTTGTAGCCGACAACAATCTAGCCATCCTCTTGCTGGCTCAACCATATTTCCATTTACATTGACGCTTCACTAGATGAAAGATGCAAAAAGAAGATTGCGGATATTGGAGTAAAGAGCAATAAATTGATTGAACATCAAAAATATGAAAGCATCTAACCTTTCAGTCTTAATGATATCTATTGACAGAGTAGTTCCTAAAATGTTATAAAAAATAAAGCATGGATGAAATACAAATACCTATAATGAATAAATATACCTGAACTCAAGGATCTGGCAATATAATCTCTCTCTCTTTTATATCATCCTCACTCTGCAATCATAAAATTCATATAAGATTAATTAATCCAAATACATATAATTTTGGTTTAAATTAAAATGTAATTACCTGCTTTCTTTTCTTTATACCATGCACCTTACGAATCCAATCTCCTCCACAAATTAATCCTTCAAGGGTGGTCGGGTCTAAAGAAGCTCGATATGGATCTATTACCCTTACCCCATCACTAAAAACAGACTCAGATGCCACCGTGGAAATAGGAACTGCAAGGATATCCGCAGCCATTCTCGACAAGATAGGATACTTAAATCGATTGTCTTTCCACCAATCTAAAGCACTGAAACATTGATCGACAGTTCCATTACAAATAAATACATGCTCCTCTAAATACATCTCCAACTCTGATTTGAAAGCAGGAATTCTTTCTTTACTTCTCACAAAACTAAAGACGTCACTCCATCCTGAGCTAGTGCTTGTATCACGAGACTCATCCAAGGCACCACCTTCTCCACCCAAAGAGTTACAAGCATTATTGGCATGATGTACAGAAACATATTTATCAAATATCTCCTTTAGAGCATTTTTCACATTTTGAATATATCGTTTGGACTCTTCTTCAGGGTAAATTTGAGGATAACAATATTCCATTGCACCCAGTTTCAACCTTGGATCCATAATAGAAGCTACAGCGATTAACAAATTGCATTCCCCCCAATAGTTCTCAAACTTATCTTTCATTTTTCTTGCCATTTCTCTAATAGAAACATCATCATCTACTAGCAATTCGTCTATTACTTTTTTAATCCTATAAACTTCGACAAGATATAAATTGGATGTAGGATAATCACTAGTGGAGATGAGATTTGTTACCGCATCAAACACCTCTAATAACTTGCAAATCTTCCCCACTTTATCCCAGTCCCCAGGGTCCGGCATGCAATCATAATTGGGCTCACTTTCTTTAAGAATTGGAAATGCATCTTTGAACTTTAAGGCAGTGATCAACATTAAATATGTCGAGTTCCATCGACTAGGCACATCAAGGATCAACTTCTTCTGTCCTAATTGCAACTGTTAAAAAAATAATAATAAGATGTGATTAGTACTTTTGAAAGAACAAGTATAAGCTTTAAAAATAAACACATAATTAAATATACCTCTTGAACAATAGCAGAAAATGCTTTGAGTCTCGCTTCACTATGACTGACAAACTTCACACTTTCACGTACATTTTCAATTATTGATGAAATAACACTTATTCCATCTTGAACAAGAAGATTAAGAATGAGAGCACAAGATCGAACTTGTAAAAACTTTCCACCACAAACCGATTTCCTACTCCCGGGTAAGTCACCTTTCAAAATTCTAAAACAAACATCACTATATGTCGCATTATCCCCTGTAATAGTAAAAATTTTGTTCTCTATTCCCCATTCTTTCAAGCATTTACTCATAGTGTCCGCTATATCCATACCACTTCGAGGAGAAGGCACATGCACAAAACCAAGAATCCTTTTTTCCAGGTTCCAATGCTCATCAACAAAATGGCCCGTGACCTCCACATATTCAATTCTTTGATTTTCCGACCTCCAAAGTCCGGTCGTTAAACTAATTGTATCAATAGTTTTCAAGCGCGCTTTCAATTTACTCCTCTCGCTGCCAAAGATTTCCATGCAATCATCTCTTAAGGTTTCCCACCCAATTTCCGTAAACCCTGGATTCATGCTCTTCATCAACAACACAAAACCCTCCTCCTCACAGATCGTAAACGGATGATCGTGCATCATTACCCAATGCGCTAATGCCTCCCTAACTTTCAAGGCATCACCTCCGCCGTTGGTTAGTAGCATAGCGGGATGCTCCACACAGGACATTTCGAGTGTTCTCTGCCCTTGCTCACTCCTCCTCCCGGCAATGCAATAGTTTTCGAGCGTTCTCTGCCCTTGCTCACTCCTCCTCTTGGCAGTGCAATAGTTTTTCAAGTGGGTTCTCAAATGAGAGGTCGTCCCGGATGAATTTTGCGCGAAATCATGCTTGCAATGCTTGCACTGCCACCTCCTGACCTTATCAGGGCGAACAATTTCCACAAAGTCATCCCAACACGGGGAGGAATTTTTCCTCTTCCGTTTTCGAGGGGTCGGGTTGGTAGTCTCTGCTACATCTTCATAAGCATTAAGAGGAGCAGGGTCAGGAGAAGATGAAGTGCGTGAGGCTGCGGGTTGATTAATAGGGGAAGACGACATTTCTGTGGGTATTAAAAATTTTTTTTTTTAATAATAATCTAATAAAGAAATACGGCGTGAACATGAATAGGAATTTGAGCAACTGGGTTCTCATTAATTTACTAGCTAGCAGCGATTCCAGCGAATGCTGGGGTTTTTTTTTTTTTTTTAAACTGAAAGTTAAGTTCTAGGGCTCTTTTACCTCTCCTCTCCCGCAATTGATCAGATCCCAAGCGTTCGGGTTCAACTTCGATTGAACCTCGCTGGATCGACGAGAGGAACTCTCGCACGCCGTCGAAGGGCGGGCGCGAGAGAGAGAGAGAGAGAGAGAGAGAGTGAGAGGAGAGAGAGAGAAAAGACGGGAATTTTGAGAAAGAGCGCCGCGGTGGAAAGAAAAGGGAAAGACAGAATGTAAATTTTACAAAACCCCCTTAAGTCTGGGATTTTCTCAGATAAGCCCACTTGAATCTTTAAATGTCACAAGAACGCCTCCTTAATGTTTGGGGTTCTCAGAAAGTCCCCCTTAACTATGTTAACCGCTATTTTCGTATGTGTGGTTAAAATTAGGCATGTGGATATTTTTACTGATGAAAATTGTGGTTCATGCTTTTAGAGGGTGTTCTGAAAAACTGTTAAAAGTTGAAGAGGGTTTTCTAAAAAAAACAAAAGTTAAGGAGGGTTTTGTGACATTTCGCCTAAAACACAAGGTAACACAAAGAGAAATTGTAATGAACAGTGACTGTAAATTTTTTTTTCCTCTACATGGGGTTATATGTGCAATAAACTTGTGGGATTCATAAAAAAAATGTTATTAACTAAAATTCATAGGAGGACTAAAGTTCAAAAAAATAAACAAATACTTTATTAAACAAACGAATCAAACAAATATAAATGAAAGTTTATTGAATATAAAAAGCAAATATATCTAAGATAAATTCTACCGCAGACTAAAAAGTATTCATTCACTGCTAAATGAACAAACCGAATACTTAGTGAATAATTACCAAACCGTTCATGAACTTACCACGAACACCTTTGACATTATCGCCCTGGGCTAAATAACAAAAGAGTACCACATTAATCAAAAACTTACCAACTTTTGCTTCTGAACGCTCCCAATCATCGACTATATACAAGTTACAGACCATGAGCCTTTTTGATATTACCATGCCTTAATGTACAGCAAATGATTGCCATCTAAGCTCAATTTTACAAAAAAATAATAATAATAATAATAATAATTCATTCACACCATTAATGCAGGCTCTTGTGGTTTAATAAGCATATTAGGCTCTCCAGTTTACGGCTCCTTCAACCCAAATTCTGATGGTTTAATAAGGAAAACAGTAGTCACTCCCTCTTATCCTCCTCAACCTCGTCTTCATCAACACCGAAGACATCATTGTCTAAATTCCTCTCTTTTTTCTCCATATTGGCTAATCCGAGTTCACCGCCATCTGAAATTCCTTTTGTTAGATACTGAGCTTCTTCATCGTCGCCATCTTCTCCAGCTTCGGCGGAGTACGCATATCTGCATTAAAATCAAGAGAATAGAGGGTTAACTTCGTTTAAACTCTGTGAACACAGATGAAAGAGAGGCGAAATTTTTACCTCTGAGAGCTCTGAGACGGTTGCCAAAGGTAGCACATTACACAGAGCAAGGCGAAGGCAATAATGTCCCAGAAAGCAGTGATGATCCATGCGCTCTGCCATCGCTCACTGAATGGATCTGTTGCCTTGAAGTAGACCTGTTATATCAAAGATTTTTTCCTCTTTCAGATCAAGCATTAAACGTCGCTAGAATTGAATTGAAAAGCCTCGTATCTTTTATTTTATTTTTAAATATGTTGTTTCCTTTGCTGCAAATCCATCGTACGTCAGGATAATTTAATACAACACGGTCCTAAACTTTAAATCTTATCCATTTTCAACAGGTGTAGATTTCATCTAAAGGAAGAAACTGACTTGCAAAAGTTGGTCCATCACCAAAGAAAGGGCCACTGAAATATTTTTAAAAATAAACAATTGTGCAAATGTGACATTATAGACTTGGAAGGATATCATTTTCTGTTCAATGCCACGTCTCGTTCTAAAAGATTGATTTGCAGATAACGAAAATTTATGAGTATGAAAAATGATTAACAAGTACAGAATAACTCTCTTTGAGTGGAAAACCATTCTACTGTATGCTCTGAACTAGTTAGCGAGGAATTACATTAATCACACTGAACACTGCAATCACTATAGATATTAGGCTTCAATCATCATGAAGGTATTACCTCTGTGCATCAATTACGACGAGCTTTCTAGGCATAAGAAAGTAATATTCTGCATGACACTTTCATGAGATATCTGATCTCATATAAAGGGGTTGATCATGGAGGCTATTTGCTTATAAGATATGGGAAGTACAGATGCGTATATGGCTTTTATTGATTGCAAAAATTATTATAAACTGATATACAGATGATGGGTCTTATAAAAGAAACATATATTCACTACGGATTATGCAACCAAGGATGGTGCATAATCCACGGTGGGGTAATAACTAGCACGTAAACAATCAACATTTAGCTCTTGTCTATTTACCTTAGTTATGAGTGAGCTCACTAGGGATTGGGTTGAAAAGTGTCATGACTAATGTAATTTGATCATACTTAGGACTCACTGGAATATGTAAATAACGATGAATATAATGAAGGTTTTATACACAAAAAGCTAACTCAGCCTGTATATAACAAGTAGTACAAAACCGCAAATTGCTTATCAAAGCTAATGAGCTAAAAGATGATTCATACCTCATATCCAATCCAGGCTACTGAAGCAATCACACAAAGTGCCAATGCATTAGTAAATTTCCTGTAAATATCCAACTTTACAGAACTCTTTCGAGCCTAAGCAATCACCAAAACAGAAATTAGTTAAAGAGCTAATATCTCTTATACATAACACGGTAAATAAGAAATATATTATCATCTAGAATATAGTGTTGATCATTTTACTTATTTCCTTGTACTTGAACCTAAGTTGATATACCTGTAGCTTTTCCAACGTTCGAGAAAGAGAAGTGAAAATCCAGAGTATCAAAAAGGCATCCAAAAATGCATCTGGGAGGACAAGGAAGAGCCTTGCTTTGCCTGATATGTCATTAATGGTTCCAACATTTTCAGAAATATCAAGCAACTCTGTGGCCAGAAAATATGTTAACCCCAGAAGAAGCACCTTAGAAGTAAGACCACCGAGAGTTGGCCGAACAACACCATATCCCATGGCAACCGAAAGTACTAGCAGACGTGAGACTGTTTTTCTTATTGCTCCGACAGTCACTACCCAACTCGTGATGCCAACAGGCCTTATGCCAGTGTTATTAAAGTTCAAATACTCAAAGAACCAAAGAGTCATCTCAAACAAGCCAAGAGCTATAACTGCAGTTATGCAGTTTTGAATTGGTAGTACGTCTCTCCAAAACCTAATATACTGGACAAGCCAAATGATACCGAGCAGCAAATAAGCGAGTGACATGAAAGTGTAGAATGTCATCAAAGGAGCCATCCTGCCAGGCAAATAACCATCAGGGTTTTTCCATAATGTCCTTCCACTCACTGCAAGGCCTTTCAGCTTTGGATCACAGGAGATAAAGAATAGGTTGTACATTCCAGTCTTTGTAATATAAACCTCTTTATCTTCCATTCTCGTGTCTCGGTAATCTGCACTGAAGTGTGTATTTATTACAAATGGCCATTCCGCATCCACAGAAGATGGTCTTCTAATGATTTCTCCTTGTCTGCAGCCCTCGAGTTTAGCAAGATCAGGTGTACAGCATATGGACCTTTGTCCACCATAAGCAGATCCACCAATGTTATCACGATCAGCAGCTTCAAATATAATAGCTTGTATCAACCCTGTACTGTGCTCCATGCTTGAATGTTCTTCTGCTGCTTCTTTACTCCTCCAGAATGTAATGTTGTCAAACCTGTCACACAGAAACCCACTTCAACGTCAAAGGCAAATGATAATAAATATTTCGTAATATATGCTTGTTCCAATGCTCACGTGTTTACTAAGCGTCTTTGGAAACTAAATGAAAATTCAACCAGTTAGGTATGCAGAAGATTTTATGGAAGAGGTACGCATCATATTTATCATCATTGCAGCGCATCTGTAACTTAGATACTCTATTAATGGGCATCTGAAATGTGTGGGGCCAAGAAAGTTCCTGTCTGACATGAATATGGGGTGTTAGACATGGTAGTTCGTCAAAAGCCACACAAGAAAATGCAGCTACATATGTTTTTCTTCATAAGTATTATATTCATAAGTATTATATACATAAGTATATACATAAGTATTATATAATTTTCAAGGATGTGTTTGCATGTGGAAGAACATAACAGAGAAAACCAATGACTAAGCCAATAGATGCACCATGATATTGCCTTGTGAGAACCTTAGGCTGACATGAGTAAGACACACGAATTAATAAGGACCACGTAGTAGCTTCCCTAAGATTTATAGTATGTAGGTCACTTTTGCATCCAAAAATTAGTGTGCCGGAGTTATGACTGAGCATGCATTGCTGATCCGTAATCAACACCAAAAGGATGCCCCCTCTGAATTGTTTTGCAGATCATTCAAAAATGTAGGTTCTTGCACAACCGAACAACTAGATACATGTTTCACATTTATACCATAATTTACCACAGGACTACTACTATAGTCTATGCCTCAATTCATCAAAGTGGGTTGGATTCAACTTACTACTTGGGGTTCCTTTTTTATTAAAGGGTTTTCTTCCGAAAAGAAATTTTTATATTTGAAATGATTAGCCATTTCAATCTGCAAGTTTTCTTAAAGGGTTTTCTTCCGAAAAGAAATTTTTATATTTGAAATGATTAGCCATTTCAATCTGCAAGTTTTCTTCCCTCTCCTACCAAATTTAGTGTTTCTTTATATTTGAAATGATTAGCCATTTCAATCTGCAAGTTTTCTTCCCTCTCCTACCAAATTTAGTGTTTCTCAATGTAATTTCTGAGGTCTGCAGCCACTCACAAATCTTATCTAGTCCTCCAGTTCATGAGAATATTGGGAAAATCACGCAATTTCCAAGTCAATATCATCAGTAAACACTGAAGACTAAAGAGGTAAAGTTCTGAAATTTCTTCAGCTCTGACTTACTGGCTCAATGTAGACTGGATTTTTGTCTGAATCCCACTATATAATACAAAATCCACACAAGTTCACTTCTTTTTTATTTATTTTTTTACCTAAACCTATGGAGCACAATCAAATCTCAGATCTAAACCGTTTCAACTCAGATCCAGCCAAAAACTTAAAAGAGATCGACGGGCTCACTTGATAAAGGATCGCTTGCTGCTGCCATCGTCGATGTGGATGGCCTGAGAAGCGACGATCCCCTCGCTGCCGCCGGAGAGGAGATAGGCATTGCCGACCTCTTTGAAGCTCTCGAGCTCGTACGTGTGGACCGAGGCATCGATTTTCTCGAGATTGAAGACGATGAGGGATAGGAGAGAGATTGTGGAGAGAAGAGAAGCGAGATCCATTGAAGAGAGGGGGGGAGGAGAGAGAGAGAGAGAGGGCTTGTCGGCCTCTAATAAAAAAAATCAAAACGAACGATATCTAATTACTAATACGTATAAAAAAGACAGTGAAAGTAAGCAAAGATTTGGGCTTTGTAGCCATCGAACCGGGGAAAGAGAGAGAGAGAGAGAGTATGTGAAGGAGAAGAGTATCTCAGAATTAAGTGCTAATTGCGAATACACCCTGTAGTTTTTTTTTTTGGGGGGGGGCATTTACACCGCCTTGGGACCAAACCCTATCACAAATTATAAAAGAGTTTTGCTACAGAAACCTAAAATATGGGATCAACAAGAGAGACATGTGAGGTGTCCCCCTTCTATTGCATAATGAGTGACCATCATTAAATGATGACCACTCATTATGCAATATGAGAGAGACACCTCACGTATCCTCCTGTTGGTTCTATATTTTGGGTCATTGGGGAATTTTTCATTATAAATTAGCGCCAGGTGAAAGTCCTTCCTCATACCAAAAATCAAAATTTTTAACTTTTGTTGTTTGTATTCCACCCATTCTCTCACCCGTTCTCGCCCATCTCAAGGATGCAAACTCCGGCATCAAATTTGTTCACCAAAGTCGAAACTAAGACAAAAGACGATGGAGCTAATAGGCTTCAATAGCGTCTTCCTAAGAGAACAAAGAGCAAAAACGAGACCACCCACGGGTGGGATTCTTGGTCAGCAGCTCCATGGGGGAGGACTCGCTCCCTAGGCACGTGCCCTGTTGGTCATGGGTTCGAATCCATGTTGCTGCATTCAACTGGTCTCCCTTGGTTTAAGGGTGGGGACGGAGACCCGGGGTTTTACTGTTCAGCTAATCAGCCTGGTAAATTAGGGACCCGTTTAAGTCTGTTCTGGTCCACACGCTGAGTGACCACCTACGTGGAATTGGGCCCCTGGTAGCAAGGATATGGCTCCCTTAGTTGTGGGGGGGGGTTGGGAAAATTCAAACCGTGGTCTCCGCTGGACCCCAAAGGGGGGCGCTAAGCGGCTGACCAGGTTTCCCTTGTCACCCCAAAAAAAAAGCAAAAACGAGAGCAAACGAGTTAAAAAGGTGTCCAACCCATCCGGACAACATTTTTTATATTATAAAAGGAGGGGATCTCACATTTAATATAAGTTAGAGGGAGTTTGATTCCTACGGGTTGTAAACGCGACAAATAATACTACAGGGGTAGTAAGTGCAACTCGGTGATGCTACAGGAGGTGTGTTCGCAATTAACCCTAGAATTGATAGAATTCTTAATAATATTTTATTCTCATAATTAATTTTCTGTTCTCTAAACTATTCTCTCTTTCTATCTATTGTTTGTTTTTCTTTGGCCTTCTTTTCCCCCCTTTTTAACAAAGCAATTGAACGGTTCCCTATATTGTGATCTAGATGGTTTATCTTTTTTTTCCCCGAAAAAATCCCTAATGACCTGGGACCAACAGGGGGGACAGGTGAGGTGTCCCCCTCTTAATAATCTCCTAATAATGAGCTGACAATCATTAATGATGGCAAGCTCGTTATGCAATAGGAGGGGGACACCTCACCTGTCCCCCCCTGTTGGTCCATATTTTGAGTCACTGTAGCAAAACTTTTTTTCCCCTTTGACCGAAAATGTATAATTTCATTTAATTAAAAATAGTCAATACATCCAAATGAAATTTCCGAACAATTAAATCGAAGCATACATTTTATCTAATAACATGAATTTTCTTGACAAGGGCCATATTGAGCTAGCGAGCAACATTGTTACCCAATTAATAGTAGTGAAAATTGTCATAATTCAAACGTTATTAAGCCTTTGTTTGAGAGTGATCAGATAACTAAATTACAAATCGGACAACTTAATAATTTTTGAATTTAGCTCGCCTTATCAAATTACAAAAGTTAAATGATTTATTGGTTGAAGTACGGACAGTGAAACAAAAGATTTTTGGAAAATTGCTTCAAGGCCTCAAAACTCAATTTCTATTGTGTTGTAGCCCTCCTTACTTTCCCTAATGTACTGCAGCCCCTCCTTTTTTTAAAAATTACGTCCAGACCCCTCCAGTCCAAAATCCCGATTTTGCCTTCCCTTCACCTCCCTCCTCCTCCTCCTTTGCCGGTCCCCCTTTGCCCCTTCCCCCGCGCCGCCTCCCTCCCCCGTCCCCACTCCCTACCACCACGTGCCTCTCCTCCCCCCTCTCTCACGCTGCCCTCCCCCTCACACCGCCGCCTCCTTTCCTCCCTCCCCTTCCCCGCCCGCAACCTCCTCCCACGCCGCTCCTTCCCCTCCCCACTCCTCCTACGTCGGCTCCTCCGCTCATCCTCCCTCCTCCCGCCGCTGCCTCCCTCCCACAAGTCGCTCCTCCACACGCCCGCCCAATCCGCTTCTCCAGCCCACTCGCCCTCCCGCCCCCTCCCTCCCCCCCCCTCCCCCTGCACTCCCTCCCCCCTCCCCAGGCTCCCTCCCCTCCCGCCCTATCCCGCTGCACTTCCTTCCTAAAACCTCCTCCTCCTCTCCGCTCTCTGCGCCAGTCCCCTGTCTTCCGGCAGCATGCGCCGTCCCGAGGAACTTCGCGTGGGCACATTAGTAAGAGTTAACATGTTAACTGTTAGAGTTAACATGTTATCTGTAAGAGTTACCATGTTAACTGTATGAGTTAACATGTTATCTGTAAGAGTTAACATGTTAGCTGTAAGAGTTAATATCCGCTGGCATGAGAAAAAAAGAGGGCAAATTTGGGATTTAAGCCAGCTGACATGTCTAATCAACTGCTGACATGAGTTGGAATCATGATGGAAGGGCATTGGGCACATTTAAAAAAAAAAAAGGGGCTAAAGTACATTAAAAAAAAAGGAGGGGTTTGGGCACATTGAAAGTTCAAATTTGGGGCCTAGAAGCAATTTTTAAGAAAAAGAAAATGATGGAGATTAGGGGCGGGGGCGGGGGTAGGGGAACGTCGCATCATCCACAGTGGTCCAACCTCCTAACTGGCTCGGGTTTCGTTCTTGTAACTATAATCGCCATCGTCTCTGTGTCCAAAAACGCCGCTACCCCTTCCTTCCCTCCTCCATACACAGAGAGGAGAGAGAGAGAGGAGATGGAGGGAGGGCATCAGCTCAGCCCTCTTCTGCGGCCCCAAAAGAAGGGGAGAGAAATCGGGCCCCACTCGCCGGCCCACGGACCCTCCGAAAGCCATCAGGGGAATCCGGTGCCGCTACGTCCCTCAGGACGAAGTCGCAATCTACCAGTTCTAAAGGCGCCCTCGTAATCCCAAATCAAAACAAAACCCTTTTTTAAATTTTTTAATACTTTTTTCGGCACGAAAGACCCTTAATTTTTTTTTTTTTTGTGTTGGGGGGTGGTGCATAAATGCTGCATGCTGAAGAGCGCCAGCCCGGAGTGCCCGCCGGGGTGTGAACGTGGATTGATCCCGATGCAGTGGCGGTGTGTAAGCCGAAGACGAAGTCGGCGAAGAGGAATGAGAGGAAGAAGGAGAAGAAGCTTCAGGTGATTTTTTTTTAAATATTTTTTTATTGATTTTTGGTTACTGGAAGATAGTGACCAGAACCAAAGAAAAGTTGACTGTAATCCATGTGATTTCTATTAGCTGTTAGCTTGATTTTTTTCATTAGCTAATAGAATGCACAAAGTTTTAATCTTTTTTCGGTGATGTGTTATCTTGAGAATACAGGCTGTATTTTGACTCACATTCTCTGAGCAAATGATACAGCGAGCTATGTACTTGGAAGATGAACTTATACAAAAACGTTCTATTTCGCCTTCTTTTCTTGCTGTTGACAGATTTTTCTCTTGTGGGTTTGTGGGGTATTAGGCTAAAATTGAATTGGAGTTGTGCGCCGACGTAGAATCATATCGACAACTGCTATTAGGGACTGGTCCCTTTGCATTGGTAATGCACAAGGTTAGTCAGCGTGTAGTGGTTGAGGTCTTGTTATGCGTTAATTGATGAGACGAAAATGGACTGCTAAAGCTGAAAGATTGAGAGTCGAAACACAGGCGTGGGATTTTTAAGGATTTAGAATTGCATGTCATAAATGTAATATATAAAACACAGTTTTAGCCAATATATGTGAAGAAAAAGGGTATAAATTGTGTAATTCACATCAACGTCCAAACAAATACCTAGAGATAAGTGTTTTACTACTTCAGATCGATCATTTGCTATGATTATGTCACTAGGGACATTTCCTTATCCACTTAAAGGAAGATGATTAAAGTGGAAAAGAGTTTCAAAAGTACCTATGCAAATGTAGAATACCCTTGAATTTATTTATTGAAACTGCATGACGCTCAACGTGCTCCCTAAAAACAAAGAAATGGTTTTAGGTGCAGGTTCTACTAGACAAAATCGATCATTTGTTGTGATTATGTCATTAGGGGCATTTTCTCATCACTTAAGTAACAATGATTAAAGTGGAGAAGAGCTTCAAGAGTACCTATGCAAATGTAGAATACCCTTGAATATAATTACTGAAGCTACATGACACCTCATCACGCTTCCCAAAACAAAGAAATGGTTTTAAGCGCAGGTTCTACAAGAAAAAAATAGAAATTTACTAGAAACTTTTGTAAAAAAGTTGAGATAACATCACGTCAAGGCCTGAAAGTTCCTATCATTTTCTTATACCGATCCAGTTAAACAATATTTTGTGTTATGGGTATTTCCTTGCATGTCCAAGAATAATGGAATTGTTAATATTATACAAGTATGCCTTCTTAAAAGCTCTTGGTACAATCATAGCCATAAAATATATGCCGTTGCAGGCTTGCAGCTTTGTCTTCTGAGTACTACAGGATTTCTGTGGACTTCTGATAGTGCTACTGGGAAAGAGATTCTGCTCCGTTAGTGTAGATTTGAGATTTCTTACTATATTTTCCTGATAGGATGAAGCCTCAATGACAAATGAGAAACCCAATAATGATAGGAGTTATTGAGGGAGTGGTGTTACAATTATCCTATGATGTCCTGAAGCATTCAGAAACTAGAAAAGTATGACTAATTGAAAAGATATACATGTCTTCAGACTTAGTGTAGAGATAGATATGTTGATTTGTAATAGCATTTGCTTTGATATTAGTATCAGTCTCTGGGCTCTACTCAGTACAGAACCCTTGAGAATTCATTTTGGTATGCGAAAGCAGAAATTCAATAATTATTCAATTGACATAATAGCGTAGCATAAGTTGTCTGAAGGATTTGCTGAAGTAAAAGGTGCATGAAAATAAGTAGAGAGCAAAGCCAAATGCGAGGATTGGATCTTTTGAATCAGGACTCACAATTTGAAAGGTCATGTACAAAATTGATGGAAGAAATATTTGTTCTGTAAAAGAAACTGAGCAGACAATATTTTGTATGAAATTTTTATGTAATGTAGTTTTAATAGTATATTCATGCATGCATGTTCGTTGGCTATTTATTATTGGGTTGTTGGATAAGACTAGCAGAATATTCACAAAGAGGCCATCTGAGGTTGAAGATCAAGAGGTTATTCATCATCCGACTGCTTTTGTTTTTACCCCTGTTATTATTTTATTTATGTTTATCTTTCATGATCAGTAATGTATGCGAGTTTCCATCTATATCCCAATAGTTTCTTTGAAAATCTAATCAAACAGTCTGATTTTCAGGCTACTCTTGCTTCATCAGATGACAAGGGCAAAGACTTGGATCAAGCGCAATCTGGGAAACTGAAAACTGAGAATCCTGTTGATATACAAAGATTGGGAAATGTGGAAACAGTAACTAACCAAATAAGTAATCTATCTGTTTCTTCAGCAGCAGAAGTACCAAGCCCGTCAACTGATCAAATCGAGACATCTAAAAATGAGGATGTTGGCCAAGATATTGATAAGAGAATTCGAGCGCTAAAAAAGAAGGTAAACTCGTGAAACTTGTGCTCCATTTAGTCAGTGTGTCATTTTTATTTTCAAACGTAATAAAGTTCACTTCAGATTCAGACCCTTTTTACTGGGAGCATTAGATCGCTTAGTGCATAATAAATCTCAGTGCATTGGCATTTCTTGTCATATTTATACATTCTAATGCGCTCTTTAATGAGATGAACTACAGAAATTCCTATTTGTAGTATGATCGTAAAATTTACATGACTACTTAATCAATGGGAATTGGCACTGGAAATTTTAGGTGGGCCTGTTAGTAATTGGTATTTTTAGTTGGAACTAGGACAATTGCATCAATGGAATTAGAACCAGGACATTTTGGTTGGATAAAGTGGGATAAATAGTGATGCCTGGCATCTCGAATTCTCCATGGAGTTGTTAATTCATAAGCTATATGACTTTGAGAGGTTATAAAACCAACTCTACAAGTAAAAATTTAGTATAAAGCCCTGACTTTTGTATCTATTTTAGCACAAAAATTTCATGAGTTATAACCCACGTTATGTGCTCATTTTCATTCATTTCAATTCCATAGGCAATTAATCATGCATATGAAAATATACACGATTTTTATGGGTTATAACCCACGATTTTAGTCTATTTTTTTGTTAGTTTTGACCCAAAGGAAATTAAATTTTCTTTTGTAAAAACTCGCGATTTTCATGTATTATAAAGCACAAATTTTGTCAATTTTATTCTTTGACCCTATGATAAAGAAGTATGCGTATTTCAAAATCTGTGATTTTCATGGAAATCCATAATTTTTGTCCATTTTGTTTGTTTCGACCCAATAGTAGTTAAGTTTTGTCAATTTTATTCTTTGACCCTATGATAAAGAAGTATGCGTATTTCAAAATCTGTGATTCTCATGGAAATCCATAATTTCTGTCCATTTTGTTTGTTTCGACCCAATAGTAGTTAAGTGTGCGAACTTCAATAGTTGCGATTTTTATGGGTTATATGTTTATTATCATTCATTCAATTGAATCACAACTAATTATGAACACGTCTAAATTCGCGATTTGGATGGGTTATAACCCATATTTTTTTGCTATTTTTGTTCGTTTTGTCACAAAGGACAGTAATCATACATACTTTAAAATTCATAATTTTCATGGGTTACATACTTTAAAATTCATAATTTTCATGGGCTTGTAACCCATGATTTTTGTCACTTTTCATTCATTTCAACCCAATGACAATTAAGCATACATACTTCAAATTCAAGATTTTCATGGGCCATTACCTATGATTTTCAAAATTTGCAAATTTCATGGTCTCTCCATTATTTTTGTCAATTTTCATTTGTTTTGACCCAGTGAAAATTAAGTATTCTCTCTCAAAAAATCACGATTTTAATGGGCTATATAAGCAATATTTTTTGTCAATTTCATGCTTTGATCTAATAGCAAATAAGTATGCAAATCTTTAAGTTCACGATTTTCACATTATATACCCACATTTTTTGTCGATTTTTATCTGTTTCGACTTCATGGCTATTAGGCGTACACTTTGAAATTTGCATTATTCATGAATTATATCCTATGATTTTTTTGCATTATCATTTGTTTCAACCCAATGACAACTAATGCTTTCAACTAATGCTTACTTCAAAATTTGTGATTTTCATATGTTTATCACTCATGATTTTTGTTAGTTTTCGTTCGTTTCGACCTGATGACAAATAAGTGTGTACATCAAAAGTCACGATTTTCATGTGTTGCAAGTCACGATTTTATTCGAATTTGTTTGTTCACCCAATGGAAATTAACTAAGTGTATTTAAAATTTTGCGATTTCATAGTCGGTAACCCACAATATTTGCTCATTTTTTATTTCGACCCATTGGAAATATACTAAGCATATTTCAAAACTCACTATATTATGGGCTATAACCCACAATATATGTTCATTTTTTTCGATTCAATCCATTGGCAATTAATCATGCGTATCAAAAACTTTGCTTTTTCATGGGTTATAACTTTACGATTTTAGTCAATTTTCGTTAGTTTTGACCCAATAACAATTAAATTTTCTTTCATAAAAAACCGCGATTTGCATGGCCTATATTATTTTTCATTAGGTTGAGATGAACAAAAATTGTGGGTTATAGCTTATAAAAATAGTGACTTATGCACTCCGCTTGATTATTTGCTATTGGATGGAAATGAATAAATATGGACAAACATCGTAGGTTTGAAAAAAATTGCTACTAGTTTAAAACAAACAAAAATGGGCAAATTTTATGGGTTAATAGCTTATGAAATTGTGAATTTTAAACTTCACATAATTATTTGCCATTATGTGGAAATGAAAGAAAATAAGCTTAAAATTATGGGTTATAGCTTATGAAAATCGTGAATTTTACACTGTTTAATTATTTGTCACTTGGTGTGTTTGTTGGAAATTTGATGTAAAAAGACAATGAAAGAAAAATTTGACTTGTATTTCTCTCAAAATCAATTACAATTTGGATTCCGATTACAAAAGAGAGGAGAATAAATTTGATTCTCCCCTTTGTTTAAAACTGGGTTCTTCACGGTGGCGATGAGATGCCTCCCTCGAATGCTCGCGTCGAGTTTGCTTCTCGTTGACGATCCGAACGTCTTGATTCACTGGAACGATATCTTCTCCTCACGATTTGACGCAGTGGAGAACTTGTGTGGCAAGTTTGAAAATAACTCTTAACGAGTTGATAACTCTGAACGAGATTTAGGAGAACTTGCAGAGCAAGTTTCGAACTCTGATCGAGTTGATAACTCTGAACGAGTTTGAACTCTTGAAAAAGAGTTGATTTGAACCGAAAGTTCGGTTAATAAGCCAAGGAAGAAGCTCCTGTTGCTGGTCTTCCAAGCTCCGAGATCTCTCCCTTTGCTGCCAAGCCTCAGATCTGAAAAAGCTCTTCGAAAGAATGACCGAATCTCCCCCTTATCGATGAGAAAAATCCGATAAAAGAGTAGCTGATCTCTTTCTCTCTTCGGCCGATCTCAAAAAAGCTCCGCCAGTCCTTTATAGGTTCGGTAAAACCTATATATCTCCAAATCCAACCGATAGAAAGCAATCTCCACCGTTCAGAATTAGGAACAATAAGTGTAGTAGCCACTCTCCAAATTTCACATCGATCGGACCATGGATGAGGGTCCGATCGTCACGCCGATCGCAACTGCATGAAAGTGACTTTTCTCTGCACTCCTGGAACGACCAGCTTCGGTAAAACCTTCATATCTCCAAATCTAACTGATAGAAAGTAATTTCCACCGTTCAGAATTAGGAACAATAAGTGTAGAAGCTACCCTCCAAATTTCACATCGATCGGACCATGGATGAGGGTCCGATCGTCACGGCGATCACAACTGCGCAAATCTGACTTTTCTCTGCACTCCTGGAACGACCAGCTTCGGTAAAACCCTCATATCTCCAAATCTAACCGATAGAAAGCAATCTCCACCGTTCAGAATTAGGAAAGACGAGTGTAGAAGCTACCCTCCAAATTTCACATCGATCGGACCATGGATGAGGGTCCGATCGTCACGCCGATCATAACTGCGCAAATTTGACATTTCTTCTCCTCTCTTGTTCTCTCTTTCTTTTAATTTCGTCTAGCTCTCTACCACCAGCCCGATTTTGCTGTGAAAACCACCTATTTGTAGGAGTTTAAGGGGTATAACTACTCCCCTTAATTAGCTCCATAATGGAGGTTAGTTGCCCTATTAAGTGGAGGACCGTTTCAAGGATTTGAAATGGTCAAACGCGACATTCGCGTTGAAGAGATTGTCAATTATAATCTTTTTTTTATTTTTGAACTTTTGTGAGGATCGTCAGATTATAATCCTTACATTTAGCTCTTGATAATATGAGAGTCGTCAATTTATAACTCCCGATGTTGATTGTGAAGGCGGTTGAATTAGAACTTTCATCAGTTGTTGTGAGGGTCATCAGATTGTAACATTCATCAGTCTACGTGAAAGTCTTCAAATTGTAACATTCTGAAAGTCGTCAGATTATAACTTCTATCATCAGTGTTTTGATGGGGATCAGCTATCTATTGTGATTTTTCGACAGCCTACATGGTGAAAACGAAAGAAAATAGACAAAATTAAGAGGTTATAACTATAGAATCGTGAATTTTAAACTTCACAATTATTTGCCATTAGGTCAAAAAAAACAAACAAAAATTATGGGTTATAGCTCATAAAAATCGTAAATTTTGCTTTCCACTTAATTATTTGTCATTGGGTGGAAATGAATGAAAATGGATAACAGTCATGGGAAATAGCTCAAGAAAATTATGAATTTTGAACTTTGCTTACTTATTTGTTAATGTATTAAAACGAACAAAAATAGACAAAAATCAGTGTTAAAACTCATGAAATCGTAAACTTTAAACTTTGAAAAAATTGTGCTAGTAGGTTGTTATGAGCAAAAGTAGGCAAAAATTTTGGGTTGTAGGTCATAAAATCTTGAATTTTAAACTCTAAATAATTATTTGTCATTAGATTGAAACAAAAGAAAATGGACAAAAATTATGGATTAGGTCATAAAAATCGTGAATTTTGCACTCCGCTTAATTACTTGCTACTAGGTGAAAAGAAAAGGAAATGGGTAAAAATCTCGTGCATCATAGCTCATGAAATTATGAATTTTAAACTCTATAATTATTTGCTAATAAAAAAAATATGAATAAAGATTGTGGGTTTATAGCTCATGAACTTTGTACTCCACTTAATTATTTGTTATTCAGTCGAAACAAATAAAAATGGGTAAAAATTATGGGTCATGAAATCTTGATCATGAAATCTTGAAATTTTAACTCCACATAATTATTTACCATTTGGTCGAAATGAAAGAAAATAAATAAAAATCATGACTTATAGCTCATGAAAATCGTGAGTTTTGTAGATTTTGTACCATGCTTAATTATTCACCACTCGGTGAAAACGAAAGAAAATGGATAAAAAATGCTGGTTATAGTTCATG